GGCTGGTCCCTGGTGCACGAAGAGAAGCTGCAGAAGACAGTGTCTGCCCTTGAGAGCCAGCATCTCACCAAGAACAAGCGTCCCGCGCAGAGATAACCCTTGTTGTGAACAGAAGCGGGTGCTCTATTGTCTTCATGCAAAGGGTCTTGCTCTGCTGGACACGCCTCACTTGCTCTCTGGGGTACCCAGGTCCAGGCCCGATGAACAGGTATGGCGTTGGCACCAGGGGTGGTAGGAAGAGCTACATATCCTTGTGACGAGCCCTAGGCCGCACCCGCAAACAGGCTGGCTAGTGAGAACTTGCAGAAGCCGCCTCACTTCGCATCTTTTCGGTGGGACTCAAAGCACACAATCCAGCTGTAGGGTTCCCGGGAGCACTCATACTTCCTGGCGGTTCTTCTCCAGGGCCCAGGCACCCCAAGGGGGCTTCCCGGGGCACTGACGTTCATGTCAGGGGGGCTGGCAGAGCACCACGTTGAGTGCCCGCGCCTGTGTTTATGCATTTCCTCAGACTGCGTTGCTGGCAGAGGCAGCTTGAGTAACAAGACGCTTGGGACAGTGACAGCTGACGCTGCATTACTGCCTCATCAGCTCTTGCTCATCCATCATCTTAGATTCCCCCATCGTCTCCACGCACAGCAGAGAATAAAACACACACGCACTCAGGGAAACAGCTTCTGGGTGCAGATCCTAAAACGGGCTGCTGCGTTTGTTGCTCCAGCCTGCCTCTCCAGGGAGAAAGAGCAGAGGAAAACTGCTATTTTGCATTTATATAGCATAGCATTTGGGAAATTACTTCAGCAAAACACAGAGGCTCTTTGTGGATGTAAAGACCAGACAACCAGAGATGTTTCTTTGCTTTTGATAATACATTCTTACCTTTGATAAATATATTCAGTTGGATAGCAGGACAGGAAGTTCTTAAAGGACATATGGGCAGGAAAACAGGGAGAGGACATGGCCATTTCACAAGAAAAATGATGGGCCTCCGATCTGACTGCATGCAACATGCTCCAGCCACAGCCTCCCAGGGCCTCCGCGTGACCCCATCCACGTGACAGACATCTGCAGCCCACACGTGCTCAGAGTCCTCCCTTGGCCCCGGGATGCTGCCACTCAAATCTAGACCCCTGCCTGCCTTTCGGGGTGCCCTGTAGTTGGACTCAGCGATCCTTCCAACCTCATTCTCTTCCCCCAACACACACCCTCTGGTGGGTCTAGAACAGCTTCTGTGACCCCAAGAATATGGCACGCTTGGCCTGTCCTTCCTCCACTCTTACCTCATTTGTCCCAGGTCTAGAACGTTCTTTTCTCCTCCATCCAAGGAGCCCAATGTCCATCTCCTCTATGACTTCTGGCCGCAGCATGCTCCCCCGTTTACGAATGTCCTTTGCTTCTTGTCTTGCCCTCCAGAACAGGGAGTGACACTCAGGCAGAGCCAGGACCAGAGTTTGTCTCCCAGCCCGTGGAGGTGGGCAGCCCTGCTGGTGGACAGCACGCGCTTGGAACCATCCCTAGCTCAAGCACTGGCTACTCTGCATCTCTTCACAAGAAAATGGAGCGAAGTCAGAGACTACTGGTGTGACTGCTGCCCTAGGTTCTGCCACGATCATTCTAAAAAACATTTGGGAAGATAGAGGCCACACCTAGCCCGAGCCCCGGACAGTAACTTGTCAGCCAAAAGCTGCAATTCAGGCCCCAAATCTGACACGGTCTGACAGGGTCTCAAACAAGGCCAAGAAACCCCTCACCACCTGACCCCTCACCACCTGGGCAGGATTTCTCCTCGCCCCCTTCCCCCCCTCACTTGGGCTGCCCCATCAGCCCGGCCTGCTTTTTATTCATCTGTTTATAACAGACATCGATGTTTCGATTTCTGCAGAGAACTCAGTGGAAGCAAACATCTCGAATCTAAATGAAGCTCTAGACCACACAGGCATTTTCAACACCCATAACAGTTTAGGAGTCGGAGTAACTGATTGCAAAATGAGGCTGACAATTTTTGAATATATTTTCTACCTTTTATTTCTTTCTGAATCATCCATTTTAAAAGAATCACATTTCCACCCATTCCAATTGGACTGCTGTCCAAGCGTCATGAAAACAGTAAGTGAAAAAGTCAAAGCATTTCAGCCAGCCCCGACGGGACACGGCAGTGAGCCATCTGCCCTGTCATAGGAATGTCCAGCGACTTCCGGGACGGCAGGAAGAGTCCTGGGAACACATCCGGTACTTGAGTCAGTCTGTCCCCGACGCCACCAGCTGTGTCTTGGTGCTGGGATGAGTTCTCGATTAATAGACAACTACAGAGGCATTCACGGCGCGACGAGAATGGTTAGTCGGGCCAATTAAGAGGCCAAACACGTATCTTTAGAAATAGTCTTCTGTAATATAGATGTACCAAAAAAACCCCACAAAACCTGGAGAAAATATGCCTTGATCTCTGGTAGGTATCTTAGCCAGCGTTGAGTTTAACATGATAGCAGAGTCTGAAAATGCTAATTAAAAATAAGTTGCTTCTGTTAGCATTTAAAACTTTCTGATTTAATAAAAGATTTTACTTTTGTGAAGAATTCTCAATACATATAAATTCTGAATTTCAAGTGCATATTTAACTACACTAAGAGCTTGAAACACTGGTTTCGGGCTGAAAGTGTCCGGGCACGATTTGGTATGGCCACTGGAGCCGCCGCCTCACCTTTATGCCCCCAAAGCACCTGGAATGACTGAAGATTTGAAGGACAATCGGGGCGGGACAGCGAGGAGGAAGCAGGAAGGCAGAGCTGCATCATGGGAAGAAGGAAAAGATCAGCAGTGAAGTGGCACCCCCACCCGTCAGGGGGCCCAGGAGGGCAGAAGAGAGACCGATGGGAGCTCGCTCTCCCCGTTAACTCGCCACCCCAAGCCCTTCCGCAGGGCCACCCTATTCCCCAGTCCCTTTCACTCTGCGGGGAAAGGACCCAGTGGGCGCGGCGTCACACTGCAGACCCGGCTGGCGGCCGGGGATGGCAGAGCAGGCCGCAGGCGGCTCCGTCCTCAGATCACCTGTCAGGACCAGCACCCACGCCCCCGCCCCCAGTCTCCTCCTCTCACCGTCCAGGTCCCTGTCCCCTGCCCACCCTCCTCCTACACCCAAGGTGAAAGCACTCCAGAGCAAAATCAGATGAAAAGAAGAAAAAAAAGGAAGACCTGCATTACACTTTTCATAACGATAGAATTTATAAGCAGAAACTTAGTACTTATTTCTGTTCATTATTTAGTTTTTCTTTGATGCTGACTTTATATTTTCTACGTAGGATAAGTACTCTGCAATAATAATTTCTTCGTCTTCCAGAGTCGAGTCGAGATAATCTTCTTCGTGCTCTGGAATATCTTCCAGTATTTCATTGACGGCCTCTGTCTCCATATCTTCATCTGTTGAGGCACTAGAGGTACCTGCGAGAGAGCCACGTAGTAAGAAGTGAGTTCAGGGAGAGGAACGCAAAGGACAGAGACCCACGGCGAGACCGCAGGGTCCAGGTCGGCCTCGGCTGCTCCGTCCCTGGCCACACTGAGTGGGGACAGCCACGGACCAGCCCACGCGAAGTCGCATCCCCAGCCGTCGGCTCCCAGTCCGGGGGAAGGCGCTGCTCTCGGCGGGTCTCAGGAGAAGGCAGACCTACCTGCAGAGTCGGAAGGGGACGTGGAGGGCGTCGACGGAGGCTCCTCCACCGCGAGCTGCAGGCCGGGCGGGAGACTTCCCCCGTTGTGCGCGAGGGTCTGCGCGGCCAGCTGCACGTTCCCCCGGAACACCCGCAGGGCGGCCCTGGCGGCCGCCGTGTCGAAGCCCATGTACACCAGCTGCGGACAACACAGACACGCTACACCAAACTGCCGCACGTCCCAGCTGCTGTCCCACGCTCGGCTAGGACGGCCTTATCGAGGGAACATGTCTCTAGGTCCCGCGGCCTGCACGTGGCCGGGCCTCCCGCGTGTGGGGGAGGACGACCTGCGCCCGAGGTGTCCGTGCGTGGTCCTTGGAAAGGTGACAAGCTTTCGGGCCAGGGAGAAGGTGCCGCCCCCGCCCGGTTACCAGCACCGTTAGTTAAGCAGCCACACCACACCAGGCACACTGCTGTGGACAGAGTCGCCACAGCGACAGCCTTTCAGGTCACGGGCAGAGAAATGAACTGACAGAAGCGGCTGAGCATGAAGCGGTATCGGCCCACGAGGGAGAGGCCTGAACAAAGGGCTTCGGCGGCTTTATTTTTCCTACTTCTGCAGGAAACACCTCCTGTTCCCCTCCACCCACTGCGACTGTGACCGCCACGTGCTTGGCTGGCCCCCTAGGGCGGGCCCACGTCATACCAGGAGCCCAGGGAGCCGAGCACTGTACTTGTCACCCCACTGACCCCACCTGGGACCGTCCAGGCAGAGAAGGCGCGGAGGGCTGTCACTCACTTGGTCGATATTTTCCTGGGAAGGACTTTCTTGATGGTTGCTGGTTTCCGAGTCGGAATCACTGAACCACATCCGAGGGGTGCTGAGAAGAATCTGCAAACACACGGGAAGGCCCCGCCTCAGCACTGACACCTGCTCGCTCACGTGCAGACCGGGCACCCACCAGGCAGGCGGCAGACACACGCCGGGTGCCGTCAACTACGTGAAGGGTGCTGTAGGAGCAGAGAACAGGGACCCTTCACCCAGGCTGGGCGGGGAGGCCGGAGTTCAGAGAAGGCTTCCGGCCGAAGGGCGGGACGGGGGCATCACCCTGTGTCTGTCACTGGGCACGAGCGAGAGCGCGCTGACCCTCAGATGCAAACCAGGAACGAGGGGCCACAGGAGCGGGACCCGGGGCCCAGGGCCCCATGGGACACGGAGCTTGGACGCTGATGCGGAGGAGGCAGCGTGGGGCCGGGGCCGGGGCGGCGGGAGGCCTTACCCGCAGGGCCTCGTCCAGGTTCCCGCGGGCCTGCTGCAGGGCCTGCCTGGCCGCGTGCGTGGAGTAGCCCATGCCCTTCAGGGCATTTACGTTCTCCAGGCAGAGTCTCTTCTTCTCTTTTTCCTCCTTCCTTATTTGGGCCAATTCCTTTAGGAAAACAGCAAAGTCTCACTGAGCTGGGGGCTTGAGATCTCGACCTGTGCTCTGCAGGATGTGTGGGGTTGCCAGGCAAAGTGAGAAACGAAGGAAGAGCAATATCCCCTGGCTGTCTCGGCCGGTCAGCAGCGTGAGGGCTACCGGGCAGGGACCGTGGCACTGCTCCCGGGGTCGGCCAGCGGGGCCAGAGGCCTTTCCCCAGGGCGGGAGGGGGCGCCTCACAATTACCACCCCCCAGCACCAGAACGGGCCACTCGGAACCAGCGAGCTCGCTGCTCGGTGCCAGAGAGGTGGACGCGCCCCCTTCCGGGGAGGGGCTGAACGGGCTCCCCACGCGGGTGAATTACCGGGGCTCTAGGTGAAATATGGATTCTGAATGGGGGTGCAGTGGCGGGGTGGGAGAGCCAGGGTGATGCCGGAGCTGCCGCACCACACTCTGGGTTTACACAGGTGTATGGAATGATGAGGATTAATTTTCAAACTATTTCATTTTAAAACACTGGCTTTCCAAATGCTAATGAAATCTTACTGATAACCCAGTAACAGCAGAGTAATAAGCACAGCACGAGCCATGTCTGCTTTCCATTAGTACTCGACTGGCCTGTGTAAAGTGCAAGCACACAGACTGGGCTTTTCCAAGCCTCTGCCTTCTAGAGACTTCTACAGTTGGGTCTATAGCTGGAAAGGACCGGTGAGATAATATACACCAATTCACGTTTGCAGAGAAGAAACGAATCTGCTTCTCAACAGCCCATCGCGGGCTCGCTGAACCTCAGCTCCTTTGCTGTGAAACTAGCACCTGAGACACGTATTGTTCTCGTCAACTCCAACATTCTAAAGTTTTACTGTACTTCTTTCTAATTATTTTAAATGATTATAATTTTGTGCCTTCGCCTTTATAATATGTTACTGTTCCTACGATTTGACTCATGTCCAGGCAAGAATACCATCTCAGACCATAACAATGGCCCTATGGGAAAACATGGTCCCCGCTAAAACGGTTTCCAGAAATACACTATGATAAAATGAGAGAGGACGAAGGCTGCTTGAATAACTGTACTTGTGAGCTACCTGCCGCCACAGCAGGAAACGAAGTCAGGAAACGGCACCGTTTGAAAACTGATGCAATTAAAAAAAGTCCCTTCCGCTTCCCGGTCTGAAGACGAAGCTCTTTATTACTCACACCTGCTGTGGAGTCATCTGAGCGCTAAGGCGCTTTAGAGATGAGCTTGCTACTGTCTCAGGTTCCACACCTACTCAAAGACACAGGCGGCGACACAGTGCCACCCGGATGTCAAGGTACCTCTCTGCGGCTGGTGATGTGGGTGGCTGCGTGGTCCACGTTCCCGTCACAGGCCCTGAGGCCAAGCCGGGCTTCCTGGGCGGTAAACCCCAACTGCAACAAACTGTGAACTTTCGATGGATCGATGTATAGCTCTTTAAAGAGCTGACGTGCCTACGGACGGGAAAAAGCAAGAGAGTCACATCTCTGTGGCAACACGCAAGCTTAACATCCAGCTAAGCCTGAGGGACATGAGACTGTACCCAATGTGAATGATGGTGTGTCAGATTTTAGATAAATACTCTCAACGTGACCTCTTACCAACTAGCAGATGCAGACAGACAACACTCTGCTCACAGGACCTCTATGTAATATAACACGAGAACAGGCGCGTGGGGTGGGAAGGGCTGGTGTTCATGACCTCCTCCTTTGTAATAAATCGCCAAACGCGGGCTGGGCACAGGGTGTTCCTCACTCTGCCTTGCAGCTGTGGGTAGCTACCCAGTGAAGTCTAAGCAAGCGGCATGCGACAGATCCCGCGGGCGCACCTTCCGGTCCTCTCTCTGAGGCTTGCCCTGGACTCTCGTGCCGTCTGCTGGCTGCGAGAGGCACTGGCAGGAGCGGCCTCAGTGCCAAACCAGCTCTGCCCTGGGTGCCACCTCCAGACAGCCAGACGAGACACGGACACCTCCAGCCAATTCCAGTCACTGTCTTTTTGAGGTTTCCTTATTATGGCATCTGGCCTGTCCCCCAACAAATACAAATGTGTTTATCGTGTATGTGGGGGAGCAATGGAAGAGAGACATATGTTCCTCACAAGTCACAAACTACTGAGTTTACAAAATACTTAACTTCTAGGGATAAAAAAAAATGTAAGTGAAAATGGTTACGACTCTGTTCATTTTCTTACCTTGTTGAGATACTCAGAAGCCTCTTCACCATTCCCACTGTGAAAATTTCGGATACCTTGAAGCAGGTAAAGTCTTAAAAACAATACCTTCTCTTTCCCACAATTTCCCTAAAATTATTGAAGGAAAAAAAAGGATAAAACTGTCATTTCTAATTACAGGTCAATAACACTCACATCTGTAATTCTACTTTGTCTCCAAAGGGGCAAAAATGGCGTTACGAAAATGTTTACATCTTTACTGTCGCTGATGGCAAAAGCGAAGATCCCAGAGGACAATGACATCCCCACTCACGAGAAATAGTGTCAGAACACCTGTCTCCAGACACTCAGGGCGGTGGCCCTTCTGGTCAGTAGGGAAGTATGCAAGACTCAGATCAGGAATATCTTACGCTGCCCTGTCATTCGCAAGCAGAATTCTGGTGACTCGTGGAAATCCCCCCAAAAATTCTTATTCAAATCACGGCATTTGAGCTGTGACTTCTGAGAACTGTTACTCTTCACAGTGTTTATTTTCTGTATTGAAATCTCTCATTAGACTTTACTGAACACGGTCCCCTGCCCCCTCCGTGAGCGTGATCAGTGGGGTTCTGTTCCTCAGGGCTAAATGCTGCACAGACCAAAGTGACAGCCAGATGTGCGAAACATGTAACAATCCTGTTAAAAATATAGCTTACAAAGAGCACAGTGCATACCACTGTCAAAATAAATCACCTTCTGGCAACAGTGTGAATGACGGGAATAAACTCGAATTCTGGAAATGGGCTCAATGATACCTAAAACAAACGACAGTAACATACTTTAATGTTGACCAGTCTCTGATGATTTTCTCCATAACAATTCTTAAAGCATTTCTGGGCCAAGTTTAATTTTTTTTCTGCGTCGTCAAGGCATTCCAGTTGTTCCAAGCGGAAGTAGCACCACACTATATCCAGCTGGAGGACCGCGTAGTTATCCACTGTATCCAGAAGTTCTGTGCAACACTCGCTGGGAAAGAGACAGGAAACGACATCGTTGGAAAACGGCCTAAAACCCTGTCTGTAAATTTCTGAAATTCCTGTCCCGTTTTTGGTGTATTTCCAAAGACCGACTGCTCTAAACCAGAGAGCCGTGTTTATGAAGGGAACTAATATTTATTATCTGAATCCTTCCAATGGGAAAGAAGGGAGCCAAGACTCAGGGATGGCAGCTTCGCGCACACACCCCTTGCTATGCCGGGAAAGTCCGGCCCCCTGGATTCCTAGCTCCATCTCTTCAGCTCAGGGGGACCATGGGATTTCTCCTCGCTGCACAGCAGCCAGGCAGAGCGCTGAACTATCGCAGGGCTCGTCTGCTTCCCACTCAGGGCTCACGGGCCTGCCCTGCCAGGAAACCAATGTTTCATACATTTTGCTCAGGTTTTTAGTGGTTTCAGGCTGGGGAGGGGGAAATCTCGTCCCTGTCGTTCCATCTTGGCTAAAAGCAGAACTCTCATTTCTCATTTTAAATACGGAAAGAAACGACTCTTGGTCATACTACACACCATACCCCGAGACGTGCAACAGGAATTTTTGAGAGAACTCTGAGCCCGTTTGGAGAAGGCAGGAAAACCGTCAGTGGGGAAAGAAACAGAACTGAGATGTCTTTCAGGACATGGCTGACCTGCCTTAGAACCAATCTCCTTGACGAGGAGGGGGAGCTCACAAAAATGATGCCAGTAAGTTGCCCTGACTAAACAAATCTTCAGGAAAAAAGTCATTCTCTACGTATGTACAAAGGCGTTAACAATTATTATTGGATTACTGTTATCTACCACTTATTGAACGTGTTACTGTACTATGAACTGATGATAGTTATTTTTATTCAGGGGTTCCTGAGACTTGAAAATTATTTCAAGGATTTGTCCAGGGTAAAAAGATTGAGAAAGATGCATACAGACGAATCAGGCCACCACGTCTTGCTAACTGAAGCTGGCATACGTGATGCATTATACTCATTCATACACACACACACACACACACACACACACACACACACACACACACACACACACACACTCTCTCACACACACATACATACACACACACACACACACTCACATTCATTATGTATATTTAATATGTTTGAAATTTTCCCTAATAGAAAGGCAGAAACAATTATGTAAGGAAATAAAAAATTTACCTGAATTTCAAGCACCTGACTCACAGCCTGAGCCCATACTATCTGCGGCAGAAGAAAGTGACTGACACTTGGAAAGCGGCACAGACAGATGCAAAGGAGACCCCGCAAGTGCCAAGCCCTTGTTCCAGTTACTTCTAGCTCGGCCCCCTCCTCCCAAATACTTGAGACAATAAATCACTTTTTGTTTAACTTGGATTGGTTCACTTAAAACCCAGGGTATTACCAATACGGTTGGCAAACCACACACATTTGTATTTATCTTCTTGAAGTGTACAGTGTACCTTGGGAATTCATCAAAATGGAAAAGAAAATAATACTGAAGTTGCTACCCTTTGGCCAATTTCAAACATCGGGTCTCTTTTTCAAATGTCTCATCTGCCTGCCTCTCCGCACCGTTTCCCGTTACGAGGAACTAGGAGTCCCAGGAAGCTGCCGCCTCCTGGTCCGGGGCAGGAACTGCCCACGATGAGTCTGGGACACTCGGGCACCGGAGACTAGAGACTAACAGGATAAGTCAAAAGGACACAGGAACTGCCCGCTGGCCAAAGCTAGCCAATTTAAGCACTGAGGTTTGAAACACATCAAATGTGTTAAAATCTGCGAGTTCATACATTGATACTTAAAAAAAAGAAGGGAGAAGAAAACCTCATTGGTGACGTCATCTTTGGAGGATGCTAGGGAAGGAATTCATTTATTCTGAAAACAAAAAAATAAGGAGAAAGAACAAAGCATTTTATTCTGTCTTTTGGTACAAACTGCAGCTCGGCACAGCCAAAGAGCTGATGAGGAAAAGTATCTCTTTTCAGAAAAATTCTAGCAATAGATGTAGAAGGAATGATAAGGTACCACACTACTTTGCAGCCCCCAAAAAACAATGGATTTGGGGAATGACCATCAATATTTACACCGAAACTATTGGGTGAAAAGCTGGTGGGGACGCATAATGGAGAGTTCAGGCTGACAGCACCTCACAAGAACAAGCACGATATCCTACGTGCCTATTGTAAAAAAATATTATAATAAGTGTTTACGTTTATAACATTCTTTACAGGGAGGAGAGATCAATTAGAAATACGAAGGGAAGAAATAACTACTCTTTCACATTAACCACTGTCCTGGGTAAGAGCCAGAAGTGCGAGGTGTACGTGGCTGCCAGGGCGCTGTGCACAGGCCTGGGCCATGTTTCTTAAAACCGGCGCTCACCAAGCACAAGTGAGCCTACCAGAAATATCTGTCAGCGTCCAGCAGACACGGCAAGGCTATTCCATATTCTTTCCTCTTCAGGAACGCTCTGCCCTTCTCGTGATAACCCATCGCTAACATAAGGGCCTAGAAAAAAATAACAATGAAAAAAAAATCATTTTAAACTGTAATAAAACAAATTATATTGAAAGTATATTAAATCTAAAGAAATCAAAATAAAAAAATCACAACTAAATTTAAAAGACAAAATTAAGAAAAATATAATTAGAGCTTTATTTCATTTGAACACTGAAAGCAAGCACCCAATTTAATGTGGCTGATACGTCATGACCAGCACGTGGCCCTGTGTTTGCATCAGTTTATTTCTGCATGTGCTGACCTAGTTCTATTTCTAGTATTCTCTAAGACGAACATATGAAGAAGGTGCAGAATCCTATATCCTTTTTATCTGTTTTTAAAAGAAGCTTTCATTTTACTTTCTATTCTTAATCGAGTTTTTTCTGAAGTATCTGTCAATCCTAGTACTTCCAAAACAATCTTTAAATAGAGACCTGAAAATTTTTAAAGTTCATTAATATTTTTAGATTGAATTTTTATTTAATTCAACCTTATCAAGTTTTCCCAAAAAGATCTGAAAGCCAACATTTAATATAAGAGAGGGATGGGCAAGTAATTCCAACGATAAAAAAAAAACAAACAATCCACTGATAGTCACAAAATTCTCTTATTAACACTTAACTTTAATCCTTAATTTAAAAGTAATAATATACATAGTGAAACCTACTCAGACTGTCTTTTAAAGACAAAGATTCAAATGAACAACCCACAATCAAGAGCTTTTCATTTTAAGAAGCTACTGGACTCCAGCTAGAGACTGATCTCAGCGTCCACGCTGCAGCGTGCTGCTATTTATAGCCGCCCTCGGATGTGTTCAGAGGTGAAAACCACCTCCTACCTATTCCAAATTCTAGAACGGAGAAAGGAGGAATGGGGAGACAGACAGAGACGGCAGAACTGCCTGTCGTACTTTTCCCAAACTACACAGTTCCCCCAGCCTCGCTCTGATCCACCCCTTAGGGGACATGGCCTTCTAGTAAAATAAACCACACCGAACAACCACCGCCACAGGAAGCCACTCGCGCTGAAGGCGGCGCTTCGTATCACTTGGGAATATTCAAAGTCACCGCTACGGGACAGCGAGGTCGCGCCGTTTTAGACTGCCCTGAACGTCACAGGGTGAGCCCGCTGTACGCAAATGCTCACTGAACGGCCACATTCTCTGTGTATAAGCTAGAGGCGAAAACTGTTTCTAATCCTCTGTGACACTCCGAGATTAAAAAAAAACAAAAAAGCTAGAAAACAACAAATCAATAGAATTGACAGCAGATCAATGGAACGAGCCACAAATTTCTAACAGGACTTACTTTTCTTTCCGACGACGGGATCTCGATGGATCTGCCCGTCTGGTTGGCGATATCCAGGTACGGTGTAGTTTCCGGATCCACCACCATCTCAGCTGCAACCAGACCGAAAGGAACGCTATTAATTCGATGCGGAAAGGCAGTGGCGCTAACATTTAAAGTGTCAGGACTGTTGGGAAGAAAAGCCAGTGGCAAGTGTGACACCCCCGCCACGGCGCGACCCGGAGGTACTGGACCGAGGCGACAAGCCCCGCGCGCCGGGTACCTCTCTCCGCCAGTATCTCCAGCCCTCTCTTGGTCCTCTGAATTCGCTTCTCCTTCTGCTTGGCTTCATTCTGCTCTTCTTCTTCGTCCTGGAAGTTCTTCCTTGCGTCCTCCTCGGACTGTTTCAGCTCCAGCACCATGGCCTTCACATTGTGCTTCACTCCCTGCTCCTCGAGCGATTTGCCTGTGGGAACCAGAAACGCGTGTCCCGAACAGAGCCGCTCAACGTACTGGCGATGGGCCGTTCCCTGTGGCGGGTGCAGTTCTTCAAGCTGCATCAGCGCCTGCTAAGCCGCCGTGCCGAGTGACCTCGTGAGCACGGTCCCATCTGGTTGTGTAAGTGTGGCTGTTACGCGGGGGATAAAATCAGCCAGACGAAACAGAGCTGTCATATCTACCCCCCTCCGATTTTCTTTACTGTCATCGTAAGAGCAAATCGAAGCAGTAAAAATTTGAGAATCGACGACAGGGAGGGAGAGCGCTGTGCAAAGCGATATCCGAGGAAAACGGGAGGGCGTCACGCGTGCCCGTCCCCACCGTCTGGCGGGGAAACAATCGGCCCGCCACGGTGGGCCGAGCGCCCAGGCACGGCGGTGCCCCAGGGAGCTCGGGAGCAAAGACCTGGGCTTCTGTCTCTTTTCAACTCGGAGGCGCTGAGTAAACTAATCTTCCTCACACATAAATTAAGTTAAAGATGCAAATAAACCAGCATCAAAATGAAAAAGGGTAAATGCAGATGCAAACAGATTTTAAAATAACAACATAGAATGTACTATACATATATAAATTTGAGTACTACATATATATAAATTTGAACACATTTCTAGAAAACGGTTTTTTGGTTTTTTTTTTTAGAAACTTGACAACCATTCTAACATTCACGCAGAAAAATAAAGATCTACTGATGGCCACGTCACCTTAATAAATAAGAGCCAAGACGGGGACTCATCTTACTAGATTTTAAAACTACAACGAAACCACAGTAATAAAAACTATGAAGATGGTCAAAAAACACAAACCACAGTAATAAAAACTATGAAGATGGTCAAAAAGCACAAACTTCCAGCTACACGACTAATGAGACTGGGGGTGTGACGTACAGCGTGGGGACTGCAGTTAACAAGACCCTGTGCACATTTGAAAATTGCTAAAGAGTAAATCTTAAAGGTTCTCGTCACAAGAAAAAAAGATTTTGTACTATGTGTGGTGATGTTAACTGGTGTCACCGTGGTGATTATTTCACAATATACGTAATTATCGAATCATTTGTGCTGTATGCCTAAATCTAACATAATGTTATATGTCAATTATATCTCAATTAAAAAACAAACAAACAAACAACAAACCTCTATGGTTCTGGCCCAGGAATAAACCTACAGATAAATAGAAAGAACATACACATAAAGGGGCACCAAGTATCAGTGTGCCAAGGGCAAGGTCAGTTGGAGATACTGGAAGAACAATAAAGCTGTACCCTTAGCCTTTATCTATATGGGGGACTCCGGAAAGATTCAAGGCCTCATCCAGATTAAGCCAACACAGGAAAACAGAGAAGACTCCCTGAGGCCCTCGGCTTAGAGAAAGAACTTAAAACACACACAGTAAGGTGAAAAATGGATTTGATAACAAGATCAAGGACTTCCGCCCAGTGAATGCCACAAACAGAACTGTCATTGAGATACGAGGACAGACAGAGAAAGGGTGCCTCTGACATCTAAAACGGACAATGGGAAATGTCTAGAGGTGATGCCGGAGAGGCCGACGAGGGCTAGGCTGTGAGGGCAGCGTTACATCAAGCTCGCGGCCACAGGAACCCACTGGACACCAATCAGACGACAGTGCCGGAACTGTGGCCAGGGCCAGCTGGTCTCCCAAGTCCACTCACGCCTCCTTCAAGTGTATCCCCTACTGCAGCCAAAGCCATCTTTAAAACACAGATCCACCATGCGTCATTCCAGCATCATCGGCTTCCCGGTTCTCTTAGAAATACTCTAATACCGAGTAAGGCTCAGGATGCTCTGTGTCCAGAAGCACCTCAGGCCAACTGAGTGACAAAAGCACAGCCTCCCCACTCCCCCCGCCACCAAGTCACGACCATCAAAAACATCTCTAGACACTGCCAAATGTCCCCTGGGTAGTAAAATCGCCCCTGGGGAGAACCACTGCTGACCTTTACAATGTGGCTTCTGCCTGGCCCTCCACGGTGCCACCCTCAGCCACAATGTGAGGCTCTCAGTCCGGAACACTCCCACCCCAGCCTCCCCTGCTGTCCCCACTCGGCGTCAGCTCCCGTCCCTCGGGGAGAATGTGCTGGAACCCGAAGTTTATTCTCAGCACACCTACATTTCCATTCTGTAAAATTTTATCAGACTGACAGTGTCTTCTTTCCCACCAGCACAGAACAGACGATAAATGTTAAAAAGCTGTTTCTGTTTTACATTTTTATTTTAGTAAACTCTAAGATAATTGGTCTTGGATTATGCATGCATTAAAACCACTAGAAATTTGTGAATAGAAGAAGAGTGATTAAAAAAAGATGCAGTCATTATTTTTCATTTAAAAATTCTGCAAACTGTGCCATAACATACCTAGTTGAAGTTGTTTCTTATTTATGACAATTTTGATATAATTTTCTTGAAATCCAAAGGTTTCAGCTATTCTGTAAAACAAACCAGTGAAAACTGTAATCAAATGTGTCATTCTCCATTAAACAGGTTTTAATCGTGATAGCTGTTTTATGCATTTTACTTGGACACATCCAGTATTTCAATTTACTGACTCACGAACATCACTCACTTCCCGATAAAGCCAGCTTATGAGACGGTTCTTTGACTCTGTGAGACAACGTCCTTCCTGAGACTAACTGTTTCACTACTCAGTTCCTCGTGACGTGGAGCCCGTGTGTGGCACGCCGTTAGAGCAGGACCCTAGCGGTGTGTCAGGAGGAAGTTCATTCTCTAGACTTGTGGTCCCCTTGGAGGAGGCCAAAACGGGCCCTGCCCCACAATCTTCTGCTCACGTGTGCTGGGTGAATGATGCCTCCTGAATCCATCCCTAACAGCCCTGATGTGGACCAAAGAAGAAAATCAGAAAGATCTGCTTCAGAAACACCGGCTGGCGAGCCCCGGAGGTGCTCAAAACATTTACCGTTCAAAAATACGCCACGGATGGAATAATCAACTAGAACGCAAAAGTTCAAATTTCACTAGTATGTGACCAGACAGGTTTTTTTTCTTTGTACAGACGGGTCGACTGCCTGAAATCGGCAGTAACACTCTGGCGAACATCCCGGCAAGGGATGAAGGCACTAAAGAACAGAGTCCAAAGCTAATGATCTGGTGAACACCAGGCTGTCTCCTATTTACATCACCTGTGCACTGATTCGAGTGTGTATCGAGTACCTGTTAGGTGGTGGGCCCGCCAAAACATTCGAAATCGTTGGTCCTGGCTGCAAAATTCTAACGTGCTACAAAAACTCAAGTTATACCTGGAGATGAAGACGCAGTACAAGAGCTGATCTCTCATTCACCCTTAACTAGCAGCGTGAGCCTGAGCAAGTCCTGTGTCCTCAGAGCCTACATCTCCCCTTCCAGAAGGTGAGAACACCGCCTGCCCTGTCTGTCTTCTCGGCGGCCACGGGGATTAAACGAAGGGCCAGAAGCCCCGAGGGCGCGGGGCACGGATACTCACTTAGACCTCAGTTCTTTGCCAGTGATGTGCAGTCGGGTCTCCAACAGGGTTTTCCTATCCTATTTGAAAATGACAAATAAGATAACATTGGATTGTTGCTTTAAAAAAAAAAAAAAGTCTTCATTTATCTGATGACATCGCTAAGTTAACTAAGCATTAGTACCTGTGTAAATTTGAAAAAACAATTACTCACTTTCCTTAGTCGTGGAGGTAAAAATACCTCAATTGTAGCGATCCCTGTCGTCTTGTAATTTTCATTTCCTGTGCCCCGCTCGATTGCTTTGCGACGAATCTCTTCTATGACTTTTTCTACTTCATTTTCGCAACATTCTAGCTTGTCGGAGTACTTCTTAGCGAGGTCCTATGAAGAAAAGTCAGAAAACACAGATCGATGCAGGACCAAGCGAGAAAAGGGAGCGCACGCAGCGCTCTACGGCAAAAGCCTGCTGAGGGGACGTCACTCCCGTTACAGGGAAATCCAGACCGGTGGACATCGTGAGAGGTATAGGGGTGACAGAGGATCCAGAGAAAAATAAAAACAAATAAAAGAGAGGAAAACAGACCCAACAGGGTGGGGCTGAAAGTTCCGAGCTCCTAATCCGAGTGTGATCTTTCTGGTACCTGCCCCGTCCTGAGGGTCCTGCCCAGAGCTGCCCGTTAGAACCAAGATGCTCTGATCGCCCTTACCGCTGGCAGGAGCGGGGGGATTAAGAGGGTTTTAGGGGCGCTGTGCCAGGAACCTAGTAGCGTTCTTATTATGCCACACTTAGATTCTCAACCAAAAGGGTATAACAAGCAAATTCAGAAGAAAGGTCACAAAGCAGTTGTAAAAAATGAAAAGTGAGGCCTGTCAGGAAGGGGACAGACAGGAAAACTCTGAGACCCTGATACAGCTATCACTTCCCAAGGGCCTCACAACACAGGACAGTTTGGTGCCCTCATGCCAACCCTTAGTCCCCGATAAATGTTACATCATTTACCTCAAAATATTCAGACTGAGAAAGCAGAAAAGTACATGCTAGGGTACTCCAATATAACATGTTTCTATCAAAAATGATTAATGTTTTTCTCTGTTGAGAAAAGCGGGCAAACTTCAATTTCTAGAAACTTCATTTATGTAAAATAACGCCATAAAAAAATTGAGGCATTTCTGCTGATGCTATAAAAATAAAAAAAAAAAAAATGAGGCATAATTATTAGAAAAATGCATCTTGGAAAAATGAACAGACAGCCATAGTGTTAAAAAAAAAAGCTGGAGGAAGGGAACCATTGTTTTCTAGCAGACCATGCCAGCAAGGGGGACAGAAGCGACCGAGACACCCTGAATCTGTAACATACTATCTTACTGGTATTGCTATACTGGCCGGTCAGAAGTAGCTCCCAGATTAATAACTTTAGGTAATGCTGTGAAAGTATTAAAAATAGTATATGCCCAAGAAATCAGATATCATTCTTATATGAATAAAATCTTATTAAACAAAAACAAACTTGTCAACTTCCAGTAAAAAGTGGGTCCTGTTTATCATTAGTGCTTTTGGTTATGCCAAAAGTTTACATACGTGGTTGTGCCTGGCCATTTCTTTTTTTTTTTAAACGCCTACAGCACCTGGTCTATCCTAGGTGGTCTCCCATTCAAGTACTAACCAGGCCTGACCCTGCTTAGCTTCCGAGATCAGACGAGATCAGGCACGTTCAGGGTGACATGGCCGTAGATGTGTCTGGCCATTTCTGGCGATTTCAGAAATCTTATTTACCCCTGTGGATGAAAAAGGGGCTCGATAATAAATCTAACTAAAAGTAATCTCACAGGGTGATCTGAGAATAAATTCCTAACTGGGCAGGCCAAGGCAAGCAGTAATGCCCCAGGCCTATGCAAGGCTTATCTTCACCTTAATCAGCTCTGTCTGTGGTTTTTGTGCATCCATGTTAACACATCTTTGAAATGCACCCTTAAGAGAGCACAGAATCTTGTTAATTATCCTATAATCCAATCAGAGATGTCCCCACCTTGCACCCTCCCTTGATTCCATGTAATCTTCCTTATGCTCCCTCTTTAATTCTAAACGTACAAAAGAAACTGCGAACTGTCATTCTGGGAAGAATTTTTCTCGGTCTGTTGAGATCATGCTTCCAGGTATTATCCTCTCTTTGGCTCAAATAAACTCTAATAAACTTACAAAAATTTCTACAGGTTTAGAAGTTCTTATGTCAACACCAAGGAGACATATAACACTGCCAATTATTTATGTCTTAAAAGAAAAATACCTTCAATGCCAAATTAACTTCTTTATTTTCATCTGTATATGGAGGTTTCCAAAGTTGAATTCTGTCTTCCCTTAAAAACTGGGTCAATTTTGCTTGGAGATATTTCTTTTGCGCCATCCTTGAAAGCAAAAACAGTACAGCAATGATGCCCCACACCATATTTTCAAAGTGTTTTAAAATTACCTAACACATTGACATGTTTTTTAGTGTAAGCAGAGCTCCCCTCCACTCCTCCCACTTAAAGTAAATTACTTTTAAGTTAGGTTTTAACTAGCTCCAGACTTTTCATACACATACACATACACACACACACACACACACACACACACACACACGTATATATATAACATGTCGATACAGAAACATATATATTCAATTACATATTATATTAAAATATGTATTTCAAGGTCGCTAATATGTAGCAAGGTTTATTACACTTTCCTATGTCTTAATCTGCTACTATTCTTTAAGAGAAAAGATAAGAGAAAGATGAATTCTTAGAGAACTTTTATAAGAAACTCAACACAGAACTTATAAAGTTTCTTGTATTTTGGCTAGTTTAACACGAAAGGAAAGACCAACTCCCTTGGTAGGTAAACATAAAGAAAAGTCGGCTTGAATCATGGACTCTCCAATAACAAATATTCCCTATATCTGAATTTTTGAAATTAAAAATTTAGTATTGACAATACTGGAAAAGTACCGCATGACATTTTGTGACAATAACACATCAGATCTACTACATTATAACACTGACTGGTGGGATCATCGTTTTACGGCTGAGAAAACCAAGGCTTGTGCAATGACTCGGCCAAGGTCACAAAATTAGGCAACACCACAACTAGCACTGGGACTTCTGCCTACAACATCGGACTCCGCATTCTGTCACAAAATTCCTTGCTGCTTCTCTGTCCTGTGTATGCAACTGCTCTCACCCAAAGAAGCACCTGCTGCAATGGAGCTGGCTACTCAGCCCTCAGCGGCAGAGCAGTGCAAAGGGGTGGCCAGGCTATCTGGGACGCGAAACAGCTGAAAGGGGCAGGGCAGCCAGATCAGACAAGCAGGAAGAAGAGTAAAAAGTTATTAGGTTCTGAAAGATAAAGATGAGTTCTAGAAAGCAAAAGAAATATATGAGTTAATGTAACCCAGGTAAGTAACTTTCCTTTTTCTATTCCGGGCCTGTATTCCACACTCCCCCAAACCCAATTCACCTGATTTTTAAATCAAGTTCGATAACTTACGTGTATTCCAGAGAGTCTACTCCACCCCGCTTAACGTTTTAACAAAAGTGAAACCACCGTTGCGAAACCTACAAAACTTCCGTTATAGACAGCAGAATAAGCGAGGATACAGTTTTTAAATCAAATCAAAAAGAAAAAAGGTTTTAAAAAAGCAGTTTTCGATTTTTAACTGGAGAACTGAAAGTTTCATGTTCCCCATTACAGCCGCCTCCTTAAAAAGCAGAAATCCATTAATGTTCCAAACCGAAAGTGAAACGGTATAAATCACTCCTTTAAAATTTTCGCTTTCACTCTCGTCATAAATTGATCTATGCAATCTTTATCCAAAGCTTCTCAAACATATCGACACACACACACACATATATATATATACACACACTATTCAACATACATATGTTTTCTTAGGCGGAGTAATAAAAGATTCTTGTATTAAAAAATAAGCAAGGGAAGGAGGTAAGAAACTCAGAATCAGATCGCGTTCTCTCATTAAATAGCAAAGAAAATCTGCCTTTGATTGCAAATAAATCCCAAATGGCATTTTTGGAATAACAATGTTATGATCCAAGCTTTTTGTATGGCTGATTAATTTTAATGTATCCATATGCTTGTCTCCCCCCAAAAAAAACAAGGCTCAATCCTTTTTTTAAATACCCTCTCTCCTCCCGCCCCAGCCCAGCGCAAACCCAGGGCCCGGCGAACGGCCGGCACGTCCCGGGTCCCCCAACCCGCCGCCCCAGGTCCCCGCCGGGCCACCGCCCCCCTGCAGGCG